GCGAGCTCGTCCGTGTGGCCCTCCCCCCCGGGCCATGGGGCTGCCTAGAGGGTTCCCTGGGCTGGGGGTCACCTAGGGCCTTTTAAGCGAAGTCTTCAATATTCTGGGCCAGCAACAGACCGCTATGGCAACTATACGAGAAAATAAAGGAAGATGCACGTAAACATTTATATCTATACCAGCACTTTCAAAATTAGTAGACAGAAATCTATGAAAACATATAGCTTACGAGATACTCCACATATACGTACATTGCCAACGTATCGATGACATGTGTAGGCATGTGTATATATATATATGTGTATATATATATATCTATGTGTTGTATTTATGGGTAACACCGCTATGCATCTGTATCAGGTAGACGGACAGGCTTGCAATATAGCAAGACTCGTCATGGACATTCTGAGCGTTGTAGGACATATTACAACGCCAATGCCATAACATCAAAGAGAAGCAGCAAAATCGGAGAGCCGGAAGTAGTCAAAAAGCATGATGCATGGCAACTTGAAGATAATGTGGTTGCAGAAATCCAATTATGGAACCAGGCAATAGCACTGAAAGCCAGACCCTTTAAAGCAGATCACGGGTTAAATCCATATAAGAGATGATGAGTGCGACATCCAAGCGCTGAAATAAGCGAATGCCACGGATAGCTTTGACAGGGCTGCATGATGCCCTAGCCATCCCCGAAGCCAAGAAAAATTATTGACTCGCAAGCCTCTTCGAGAGGAGATGATGGGTGACAAACCCCAAACCCTAGAAGGAATGGCTGAATCCTCAAAACTTTATAAACAACAAGGCACTAATGACTTCGCACATGCTTAAGCATCCGTCAGGCAGTCTGCAGTTTAAGATTCTGGTTTTTAGATATACTATACAGAGCATCTTTCAGACAGTGCTGGTATTTACATGCAATTGCATACATGTATGTAGCAAGCACGTACACACACTCATGCTGCTTGGGTTCAAGCATACCAATAGCTTTGGGTCGATACTATTCCAAATACAGTTTTATCTATCCAAAATCAACAATTTGAGCATGTGACTGCTGTGGGTCAAGACCCCGTCAAATTACAGATGTCGTTGATATTGGACTGGGCCGATACCCCTCCGAGTTCAGTTCGTTATTGCGGGCCAATACCCCTGCAATTCAGTTTGTTGTTCTTGAGGGTCCATACCCATCTACATTTAGTTTGTTCTTATTGCATGGCGATACGTATCAGATTTCAGTCTTATGCTATGGGCGATACCCATCCAATTTCAATTTGTTGTTCGTGTGGGTCAATACCCATATAAATTCAGGTGTTGAGGTTCGATACCTTTCTAAATTCAAACTGCCGTATCGTGGGTCAATACCTCTCCACTTGTACTTAATGATATCGGAACTCAATACCAACCTAAACTCACGTCTTGATATTGTGGGTCAACAGCCTTCTCAATTGACTCAATTTATTTGGGTCGTCACCTATCTAATTTATGCCTTGTTGGCTATAGGTCAATACCCATCTATACTAATATTCGTGTTGGTGAAGCTCGACAAGACGTAAATTCCATGATCTGCTGTGGGGGCCAATGCATGTTCAAACTCAGTTTTGTTGTAATTTATATAGTTCATAGTAACAGCAAAAACACGGAGAAAATTACTAGTTTCAGGAGAAATACACGCCGCCACGGCGTCCCAGACTCCAGAATAGGCCCTAAACCCTAAATCCATACATACGTACATACACACATACATACATATATACATACGCATGTACATATGTGTGAGATCACACCTGCATGTATATATGGGTATGTAGCAACCGGAAGGTTTACATACCTCTACTCTGTGTATCCATGTACGTACGTATGTAGACATGTGTGTAGGACTACATGCCATACATGCATGCATGTACGCATCAATAAATGAAGGAACAAAGAATGGAATGAAGCAACAAAGGAATGAATGAAGGAATGAAGGAGTGAATCAATGAATGAATGGATGGATGAATGAATGAATTAATGAGTGCACGAGTGGACGAATGAATGAATTAATGAATGAATGAACGAATAATCAATGAATGAATGAAGCCTGTGCATATTACTGTCTGTAAAGATGTCATTTGGTATATATGTACATAAGTATGTACGGATGCATGCGTGCGGATGGATGGATGGATGGATGGATGGATGGATGGATGGATGGATGGATGGATGGATGGATGGTTGGTTGGATGGATGGATGGATGGATGGATGGATGGATGGATGGATGCGCGGATGGATGGATGTATGTATGTACGTATCCTTGTTGGCTAGTTTCTTTGCTTGGCTGCATACACGCATTCCTGGATGGACGGATGGATGGATGATGATGGATGTGTGCAAGGATGCATGTACGAGATGTATGCATGCATGCATGCCCGCACGAATGTACGCATGAATGCATATGTGTAACAATGTCATATAATGTACTGTCACGCTTTTGATATCATGTCATGTCCTGGCTTGGCATCGCATGGCATGCTATGTCATTTATACGCTACATGCAGTTACATGCATAGGCATATACGCACATGTGGACGATGATGTCTGATGAGCTTCCGACAAGAGACGCATTTCTCATGTCTCCTGATGACCAAAGCAGCCGAGAGGCCCAGGACCAAGCCCATCATCTTGGCAGACGGATAGTTGTTTTCAGAATGTAGTTGAATAGTTGAATCCTAACAACTGCCAGTCTAAGTTTCAATACGCCTGCGATTACCTGCTATCCGATCCGAGCCGCAACGAAGGAACACATGTCGAGATCCAGGTCAAGATGTTGCCACGGCTAGTGGTGCAGTAGTTAGGAGTGGATAGTGACGGATAGTGTCGTTCATCTAAACCCCGTGAGAAAGTACCGACGGTGATGCGAACGGCCATGAGAGTCGCAAGGACCGTCGCATTGCAGCTGATCGTCGTACTGACTATTCTCTGCTCTAGATAGCTACTGTCATACTGACAATTTTTTAAAAGCTACTGTACGTATGTATCAAGTGCTACGGAATGTCCCGAACAAGTCCGGAACCAAAGAAACCTGCAAAACGTAAATCAGTGTAGGCCAGGCTTGGCAGTCATGAGCGGGCCCTAATGAAGTCACAAGATGAGATAGGCGCTGTGTGGCAGAAGATGTTGAAGGACGTACCGGATTTGCTCCAGCACCTGCGCGTTTGGTCTTCAGTCTCTGTCTCTCTCTCTCTCTACCAGGCAGTCGCTCTCTCGCTATCTCTCTCTCTCTCTCTCTCTCTTTGCCTCCGTTTACTTTCTCTTTCCCCCTCTCTCTCTCTCTCTCTGTCTCTCTCTCCCCATCTCTTCTTCTGATTAGCTCTGCCCTGCACATCCTCATGCAGATTCCCAACTGGCTATGGCGCTCCACCACAGCTCACAGTCGGCACGGTGCCCGAAGTGGGCTCTTTCCTGTTTCTTCCTCCCTGCTTAGCGTGGGCACCTCCGCCCCGTAAATGTGGCACCTCTATGAAGTGTCGCCGGTGCCTTCGTAGCCTTTCCCAAACATGTGACCCCTCAGTCTCTCTCTGTCTCTCTCCGCAGTAGCTAATCAGCTTGCGTCGGGTTGGTTGGCATGGATCCTTCACTAGCCACTAGCCGCGGTCTTCCATCAGAAATCTAATCGACCGAGGGCATCAGAAAACAGACCTGCCACACTACAGCCGTTTATGTCATCCCGAAAACAAAAGCATCGCTGGATGATTACCGCTGATAGTGTCCCGCTTGCAGATCATTCCAAAGTTCGGCGGCCCTCTAATTCAAGGTCGCTCCGATAGCAGGCAACTGCTTCCGTACAAGGATCCCCAGTCACGAAATTTCTATGCAGGGCTCCAAAATCCTTACAAAGCTCACAGCACCCTTCGGATCTCAGGGTTGTGCCCACGACAACATCTCCGGCAGCAGCGGCATCTGATCAGAGAGGCTTTAGCGCAAAGGGCGTACTTCTGGTTCAAGTTTCCGGTTCGCTGGTCAGTGTTGAGCGTATATCACGCACGTGGGCTCCAAATCCTCTGCAGAACAGTTGCTCGAGCCTCCTTATCTCATTCCGGTCGGAATGCCGTTTTCCTAAAGCAGTTCGCAGCAATGCTGCAAGTCAACGATGGAATCTGACGGTGGAAACCCCCTGCTATCATGTGCAAACCAACCATGCGACCATGTCCAAGGATGTTGTAAACTGCGGAGCCACTTGAGTTGCGGGATAGAAGATTTTACTCCTGGGCAAGCACCGGCCAAAACAGAAGCGGCTTCTAATGGAATGAACCGAATTCGGCCTGGAGCTTTGTTGCGAGGGCGTCTTGGCCTCTAGGCCTGGCAAGGGATGAGATTCTGGTGCAGAAGGTACTTTCCAAACCGCCTGAATCTCCCTCTGAGGTGTCGCGCATTCTTGACACAGGCTGGATTGGAAATAGTTGGAATTTGGGAGTCGCATCCCACGATAAGCTGTCTGACCAAAACACCAGGCTAGAAAGCAACAATTTGGGGCATGGCATGGCTGCTACTGGGGCCTTTCTCAGCTTGCCTGGCTCGCGTTAGACGATTTGTGACCGGCTAATAACTGTACATGCCGAATTCACAGATAGAAGCAGTGCGACGATTCCACATCACCTGCTTGACGCCGCAGCATGCTCAGTACGGGTCGTATCGATCCCGCTTGCCCTTTCCCTTTCCCTTGCCCTTGCCGGAATCATAGCCACCGCCGTAGCCACCGCTGCCACCACCCTTCAGCGTCACATTGGTTGCCTTAGTTTTGCCACTTCGAGCGTCTTCCTCAATGTCGAAGGACATCTCGGTTCCGACAATCATGTCGTCAGAGCTTCCATTGGTCAACTGAGAGAAGTGGACGAAGACATCGCCGGAACCATCCGAATTCTCGATGAAGCCGAAACCCTTGCCATCCATGAACTTCTTCAATGTTCCTGTGTACGCCATGGCTGGGACCAGGCACGATCTCTCTTCGCAAGGCTTGAAAGGGAGGCTAGCAGACGAAGAACGCATCACTCCGCTGCAAGCTGTTGCAAGCTGTCAAGCTCTGAGACATTCCGACGGCCTATGAGCCTTCCTACCGACAGCGTCCACGGCTGTAAGACGTCGAACCCAGCAACGCCTCCACTCTCGTGGGGGTGGTGGTCCTCATCCTCCGAAATTGCTTTGCTGTGGCAGCTGTTGCCATGTCGGGCTGCTTTGGGAGTAGCATATTTCTGTACGCAACAGCGCAGCAACACTTGAGAGCCTTGGCAACTGCTCGAAATGTCTGGCAGTCCCTGACTCTACTCGGGTCCGCATCGAGAGAGACGATGGAGGCGCGAGGACTGATCACCTGCGCCGGGAGAGGGGGTTTCTCATATTCTGGTATCAGAATATCCTTCGTCAATGGGGACCCTACTGGCAGACGTGCATAGACTTGCTGTCGATTTCGGCTCATGTCCCAGCGAAAGCTTGAGACCTCCCGAAATCAATGGCAGCGTAGCGATAACAATCCAACAGATCCTGCTGGGAGTCTGATTGCGAATGAGAAACACAAGAGGAAAGCCATCAGGGAGCTTCTAGCAGACTTCGCAGTGGATGAGAAGTCTGGATGAACCGTGCAGGCCTGTGCTTTTGTGGCATAGCAAGCTGGGAGGAGTCAGGAGCTGCGTGTGGAGGTTAGATTACGGGACACCCGCAGAGACCCGACTTGGCAGTGTTGTACAGTCCCCATTACAAAAACCTATGACATAGTTCATCAGATCAGAAAGGAGCCCACAAGGCAATGCCTGATTCGCCCGCTGACACGTCTCGCCTCAGAAGTCGGTGAGAGCGTCATAGTGTCGCTGTAGGCCGCCAGCTCGGCGAAGGCGTACTGCACGGGCTCGGGGGATTTAGGGGGGTGAGACTAGTATTTCTTACCATGATATCATTCATGAACCAACTAACTATTTGCTCTTGCTGTGAGAGAATCCGTACTTCTGAAAACCAGCTTGATGAAATGCATGGTTTTGAGCCCCATTGCACATACACAAACCTTAGAGGGCATACCCATCAAAAGGGTGTTGGGGAGATTTTCACTTTCACGCCTTTGAGGCTTGTCACTCTCAGGCCTTTGAGGCTTTGGGACTAAGATTTGGATTTGCTGGGGTGCGGCATTCGCCTCGAGCTTGTTCGGGTAGTCGCCCGTGGGGCCCTCAGCAGCGATGGTGAGATCAGAAATGCTCATTCCATAAATGCAAGTTAGGAAAGGTTGCTTCGCATAGATAGCAGTCATTGTCCGACTGACGAGGATCGGGGCCCTATAACAGCCGAAGCCAGGATCACCTATTAAGTTACACCGGCTTGACCGTCAATGCAGAACATGCGCTAGCTCAGATCAGACAAGAAACTTCCCGTGTAGAAGTGCAGTGCTGATGATATGCTCGCGTGCTAAGTCGGCTGCATAGGCTGCTTTGTAGGCCTTGAGGAGGTTGTCGTCATACTCGATCTTCCTTCCCAACTTGATGTGGAACGTAGCGAGCTCCACCCCAAAGACGGAGAGAGAGAGAGAGAGAGAGAGAGAGAGAGAGAGAGCCGGACAAGCACGGGTGCTGACACGCACAGAGACCACATACGCCTTGGTGGTACAGGTCGTCTGAAGTGCCAAACACAGGGAGCCTTGGGTGAGTTGTTGGAGGATTTTGCCGCCTTCGCCTAGGCTTACTTGCTGCAGTCGTCGGAATGCTACATAACGGTAGCCCGGAATTCTAAGCTCTAAACGAAACAACCCTGCGAACTCAAACGGTGCCGGCTCTCGAAAAAAAACAGGGCTTGCCCTGAATTGCCCTCGACATGTACCCCGCCCTCCTCAGACTGGCAGTTCCGGCCCCAGCATCGCCCTGGCAGTTCTTTGACAACAATGCAGGGGGAAATATGCACTGCCTGGCACTCAAACGCCACTAGCAATTATATATTTCATGCCGGCTTAGGCTCGTTGGTGAGTTGTTCTCTTGTTTGTCTTCCGGCCGCGTAAAAACCCCAGGATTGCCGAGGGGAAACAAGGCATATTCTCGACACTTGACTTCAGGTAGTACATGCTCAACATCCTGGGACCAGTCATCCGTCGTCAACACGAACCGTCCACGGGTCCACGACCCAAGCCAAACATGAAAATCTAAGCCCGACATCTCATCCTCAGCACTCGGGCCATTGCTGTTGTTCTCAAGAACGGGCGCCGCCAGTTCTTGTAGTGTGAATTGGTTCCGTCTGCTTAGCTCTTGTTCAACCTCCGAAAAGAGCAATGAAGCTGCATCGGTGCTGCTGCGCCTGTCTCCGCAGATCCCACCAGCGCAGGCTTTGAGATCTCTCTGATTCTGCCTCCACCGAGGACAGTTCCTAACATTGCATCTGGCATGCAAATATACCAACCACACACATACCGGCAAACAGCAGACTAGACGAGTTAAGTCCGTCCTACACCGCACTTCTGACTACGCAAGGCTCAACTTCTCTTTCCCGTCACAGAAGGTTCCCTACGGAATTCGCTAGTCCTCGCTCGGTTCTAAGATTTCTGTCGCCGAAACCAGGCAGCTGGCAGCAATTCTTGGCTGAAGGCAAAGGAGTCAGCATGAGCAAGGCCGGCAGCAGCAACAAGCAGCACTTTTCACTGGGGCGCTTACTTAGAAGCCAATTCAACGGGAACGAGTCGTACTTAGCATTGCACAACGGCAGCCAATCGTACTTCTGAGCTCTGGGGCGCAAGACAATGGCAACAAATCGCCAAATCGCAGCCTTTGGAAGCCAAAACAACGGCAACAAATAGTAAATAGTACTTGTGAGCTTCCAGTCCAAAACAAACGGCAACAAATACACTTCTCTCCAGCTGACGCTGTTCCGTCCAAGTTTTCTGGTCCCAGAGCGGGACTCAGGGCCTGGCTTTTCTAGGACCCGAAAGTCAACAGTGCCGTCAATGGCCTGCTGTACGAATCGAAGCTGCATGGCCTGAACGGCTTCCAGGGAAGGGGTTCACCAGTCTTTCCTTCAAGGAAGCATATAAGATTCGATCCCTTTCTCGGAAGAGTGTGAAAATCAAACTGACCTGCAACTTGCATACTCTCATCGAATCAGCAGCCGAATGCCCTGTGCCCTCGCCTGAAGCATCATGCAAAGGACGTTCTTGACCTCACGAGGAAAGGATCGAAATTCACAGATGCATTACTTTTCTCAAGCGGGAAAGCACAGGTCGCTGGAACCCCACTGGACTTGCACTTTTATTGAAACTCCCTGCAATCCAGAGTCTCATGTGACGCGAGAGCAAACTCTGCAACCCTTCTCCGCACAAAAGCTCGGAGAAAGAAGTCCGGCACTGGGCTGGCCGGCCCACCACTTGTCGAGCTGCGGCCTCGGCACTTCCTGGAACAGGGATCTCGGTTCCGGGTCTTGAAGGTTTGGGGTGTGGAGCTTCAGGCTCAAACCAGCTTTGACGATAAGACGTAAGGGTTTGGTTTTGTGACGTGAAGGAGCTTTGAAGGCCATGGGAGAGGTGCTCCTCCCTTCAACCCAACAGTTTACCAAACTAATGACTTGGTGGTTTGCTGAGATTTCTGTTCCAGAATTCAGCTCTGCTTCCTTCTGAAGAAAACTCCGGAGCCATAAGCACCAAGGCCACACAGACCTGAATCCTCCCGAACCCGACAGGCTGCAAGGATTTATGTAGGAGAAACACTGAAAGCAAAGTACAAACCCTGCAGACTCCTACTTGCCTCCCCGCCTGACCCTCCAAGAACACAACTTGAGTGTCTGGGATGGACAGGGCCAGGACATAGATGTAAGTCCTCCGGACGGAGGTCTATTCTCGTCAGGGATAAGGGTGGTGAGTGCGGGATTGGATAGACGAGCAATACCTTCAGAATGCATCGAATGCCTTCGGGCCGTCAACAGAACAGACATTGAGCAGGTTTTGTAGAAAAAATCTGCGCGGCACACTCGTGTTACGTCATCCTACACTTCTGTTGACGGTAGAACCCTCGACTTGCAACAGCTGACGGTGCTGCAACTCCACAGGCGGACTCTGCTGAAAGCTTGGGCTTGGGGGGCTCTTCGAAGCGCTGTTTCTTTCATCATTCGGGTCAAATTCAACAGTACGATCGACACGCATGTTCGGTCCTGATTGTAAAAAAAGGGAGATCAACCTCAGCGTTGGGTTCGCAAAAAGCTCATCAACAGACGTAAGGAACAAAAACAACTGTACAGGAATGCCGTGCACAAGTCAACAAAGCGGCCAGGAGAATGCTGATGATGGCCGAACGCTTGCGCGCCTGCCAACGCCACGTCCAGGGATCCGCGGATAAAGACCCTTCTCTCAGTTTCAGGAATATTTCAAGACCCTCGAATAAGTAAATCATGGACATACCTACTGCAAAGACAAATTTCTAGGCACCTCTTGTTTGTGCTGTTTCTATCATCTTAGTCGTCTCGTCGTCATTCTCCCCATCACCATCACCAGCATCACCTTCGCTATGAATGACGTTGGTCCTAGCTTGATGATAACGTCGCTGACGAATCTCCCATTTGGCCACTCACACTTTGTGTGTGTGTTTGCATAGTAAGCTGGCGATTTCCTTCAGCTTCCAATTCCGGGCCTAAAAGAACCTTGGCTGCGGATGTACAGTCTCACGTAGTGTGCTGTAGCCACTCAAGCAGCCCTGCAAAGGCTTTCGGGAGCGACGGCACCTTCACCACATCCGGGGCGGCGAGCTCCTAACGAAGCGCTCGTGTCAAACGACCGCTCGACTCGAACCCCAAGACGAGCAGCCACGGCAGTAGCAGCACAACCACCACGAGTAGCAGTGACAAAGGCAGCAGGGTCAGCCGCAGAAGCTGCAGAAGAAGCAGAAGCAAGCATGTTTTGAAACTTGCATCCACACGGTTGATATAGATGCTGGTCTCGTAGTTGCACACGGCAAAGCCAGATCTTGAGAGGCCGGAACGCGAGAGCAGCAACCATCTGGACACATTTCCGACAAACACTCGAAGAGAGGTGGATTATCTGCAATGTGACACGTTCCACACGCGCACATCTCTTCACGAAACCCGAAACAGTACATCCACCGGTTTGATCTGAATCCGCATGGATGGAGAACTTGCAGTTGTTGCGGCTCGGATCGGTGTCATCATCGAACCACAGAGCTTTGGCAAGTCCTGCCCTTATCCCGAAGCTCTCCTGGCTCTTGTTCGAACCGCCCTGGTAGGCAACACCTTAGGAGGAGGCCCGAAGCTCGGATCCGACGAGAGCCTGGAAGGTTCTAACGTCCAAAGTCCTTCTGAGCTTTCACTATCTCCTGTCCTACACACCTGTTCGGAGGATCACAGTTAGTCAGTCTTGTAGGGTAACCGATAGCGGCAGGGACAAGCTCGAGAAAAGGCCAGTGACTCGGATAGGACTGCTGGTGGAAGAAGAGAGCCATGATGATGAAGGTGCCAGCAGCCAGCTTGATCTGCTGCACCTGTCAGATTCCCGCAAAGGCCGAAGCGAGCACTCACGAAGGACGAACCCAAGACTTCCAAGTCATAACTTCCCGAATGTAAGTCCAATGTCCTCGACACCCAAGACGACACAGTCGCTTTGGGAAATTCGGTTAGAGCTTCTCTGAATTGGGAGCTTGATGCTCTGGAGGAAACACCTATTTTGCTGAGGAAGACCATCGTCTGCATCACCAGATCGCAAGGTCCCAGTCTTAGAATCCATGCTCAACCTTTGCGGCACAAGGTCCTATGGTACAACAGGCATGTTGCATGTATGACAAGAGCCATACACATGCCGAATCCTGAAGCCAGTGCCTAAACACTCCATCCGAAACCCAAAAAAAACCTAAAACCGAAACCTCTACCTCTACACCTTGAACCAAGTCCTCGCTTCGAGGCTGCAGGCCTCGTCCGGGTGCGACTGGGACAGAAAGCCTCAAGGAAACTCTGCCGCAGGCATGCAGGGTTCTGGGCAGAAACCATGCATGGATGCAATGAGCCGCTGGCAAAGTATGCGTATCAAGCTTGCACACACGCTCTCTCTCTCTCTCTCTTTCTCTCTCCCTCCCTCTTTTTCTCTTTCTCTCTCTTTCTCTCTCTTTCCCTCTTTTTCTCTTTCTCTCTCTTTCTATCTCTTTCTCTCTCTTTCTCTTTGCTTTGCTTGGGGCATAGGGCGGGAGCACTCTCTTTCTCTCTCTTTCTCTCTCTTTCTCTCTCTCTCTCTCTCTCTCTCTGTCTCTCTCTCTATCTCTCTCCCGCTCTCTCCCACACACATGCATGTACCTGCGGGCCGCTGGCCTTTCAGCAACTTGCTGGTGCGAGCTGCCATGCATGTCCAGGTGGAGTAGCAGCACTCGTGGCACAATGTGGTCAATCTTAATCAGGTCCACCCAACCATGACGCAACCCTATGCTTGCAGATGAGTACAAGGTTGAAACCTTGAACAACGAGAGCGCGTTTGCATCGGCAAAAAGCAGGCCACAGAAAGGCTACCAGCAGCATCTGAGCTTGGGAATGAGGAACGTACTCATGTGAAGCCCTTGAAAAGCAAAGCAACAAGCCGTTGTAATCCATCCGAGTTACGAGTGGAGGAGCCCTCCCCGCTCTCCGGCGAATCCAGAAACATCATGTTGACGATATCGATCATGTCCTAAGTCAGGTGAACATGATGGCCGTCGTGGGACCTTTGCATGTTGAATTGAAACAAGTTCGATGTCGATTGCAAGAGCGCGCGCGCGCGCGTGTGTGTGTGTGTGTGTGCCTGCTGCTACAGCTCGAATCTTGAAGGGTTGCTTGTTTTCTGAGACTCCCACATCGATTACCCCTGCGCGAATAATCCGCAAGCATTGAGGACGACATGACAGGGGTACATTCACTGGAGCAGCGTCGAAACGTCGCTGGTCGGGGAGGCTGGAAGGCAAAGAAGAGCAGCTGTGGTACAGATTACCTTGCCAGGCATCAATGACAACATGCCAAACCATATCCAGCAATAGTGCCACGTCGAGGGTGGCATAGTCTTGCCTGTCAACAGGTAGCCAGGCTTTGAAAAACGTCAGAGGGGCTGAAAAGGTTTCCTAACACGAGGCCACTAGGCCCTTTCCGTGTAACATGTCTGCGTTTTGTGTAGAAGACCATTCCCAACCCAGCCTCCTAATTACATCGTAGGTGCTTCGCAATGAAAAGAGGATTCTTGCTTGGAAATCGTGCTCTCCCTCCGAGCCCCATCCAGCATTTAGGAGAATATCGTCCTCCTCCTGTGCCGCTGGCCGTCGATCCGCGCAGCGTCCCCTCGCGCAGCAAAGACTTGGCCTGGCCCGGAAATTTTTCCTCAAAGCTTTTGAGGCCTTGACATGCAAGCCCGAACCTCCTCAGCACATGGAGCACCAGAAACTCCCAAGCGCAAAGCCCTGAACGGTTCTGATACAGCTGGCTCAGGCCCGCACGCAAGGATCCAAAGGCAAGGACGGAGTAGAAAAGTGGAGTGAGCCACATCACCTACGGCTAACGTTGTTGCTTCTATTCCTTGCTCCCTCGAGGAGTACGAGGACTAGCACCGATGGACTTCGAAGAGACTCTTGAGTTGCGGCCCGCGCAATCTCTGGAGCTGGCATCAAGCGCCTTCTGCGACTGATGCCAGCAATAAACAAACCCCTACAGCAGCGGGGAAGCGTTGCAGTTCTCTCCGGGTCTCCAACCGTCATGACGCTCCTTGGGCTAACCAACCTCAGATGTTCGGCCATTGCTGCCTACCGAGCTGACGCAACGAAAGTACCACTGCGACTGATTATGATGACTTCGACTTTCATACAGTTGTCAGCACCGCGACGTTTATCTGGCACTGGAAGTTTCAACACCGACTAGGCACCAAGTGAGCAAGCAAGGCAAGCAAAAGCTATTGCAAAACGAGTCGTGGAACGGTTTGCACTAGTATAACTGTATTAGGATCCACACTGTCGCCGCGATAGCAGGTCAGGCCAGCACTAATGACAGCAACAAGTCGTTGCAAGAGGACCAAGAGCGCCAAGCTGTTGCAGTTGGCGGTAGGGGTAGGAGGGGTATGGCCGCGGAAGTGGTAGCGGCAGCAGGAGCAGCACGAGCAGGAGCAGCAGCTGTGGCAGCATCAACAGCAGAAGCTGCAGCAGTTCGCATTTCGAAGATCTTAGTTCGTAGTACTAAGTTAACAGTTATAGCTACTAACGTTTAACTAAGTTAGTCCGTCCTAGTTCGTAGTTCGTAGTAATGGTCGTCGTCGTTGTCGTGTTGGTGTGGTCGCGGTCGTGGTTCGTGGTCGTGGCCGACGTCGTGGTCCTGGTTGGTGGTCTCGGTGGTAGTGGTGGTGGTGGTGGTGGTGGTGGTGGTGGTGGTGGTGGTGCCGGCGGCGGCGGCGGCGGCGGTGGTGGTGGTGGTGGGGGTGGTGGCGGTGGCGGCGGTGGTCCTAGTCGTGGCGTGGTCGTGGTAGTCGTAGTGGTACCGGTTCCGGTAGCGGTTGCGGTTACGGTGGTCGTCGTTACTAGTGGTGAGTACTAATCAGCAAGATGTAGTAGGTGGTAGTAAGAAGTAGTGAGAAGTAGTAAGTAGTAGTACGTACGTAGTAGTAAGTAAGTAGTTAGCAAGCAGTAGGTAGCAAGCATCAAGTAGTAATGAGTAAGAAGCCAGTCACCAATGGCAAGAAGTGAGCGGTAGCAGGCAAGTAGTACGTAGTAAGAAGTAGTACGTAGTAGGTTGCACGTAAGTACAGTAGTAAGTAGCTAGTAGATAGTAGTAAGTAGTAAGCTAGGAAGCGTTAGCAAGCAAGTAGTACATACCAAGTAGTAAGTAGTATAGAGTAGGTAGTACTTAGAAAGTAGTACATAAACGTAAGTAGTAAGTAGCTGGTAGCTAGTAGTAAGTCAATAGTAGGCGGCAGCAAGCAAGTAGTACGAGTAAGTAGTAAGTAGCAAGCAGCTAGTAGCTAGCCGTTAGCAGATAGCAATTCCAGTTCGCCGCTAGTAGTTCGTCGTTCGTAGCTAGTAGTCACTGTAGTGGTTAGTTGTTAGTTGTTAGTAATTAGTAGTTGCTCACTTCACCCCTTTATTAAACATCCACCTAAAACAGACACGCTTTTCGGAAAACACACCTAAAATCATCCTCGCCGTGTTAAAATCTACTTTGGAATAGGGGAGGTTCAGGAGCAAGAGCAAGAGCAGGAACAACAGCAAGAACAGGAGCAAGGGCAGGAGCAAGAGCGCAAGAGCCAGAGCAGGAGCAAGCGCACGAGCAAGATCCCCCAAAAGTCAAATGGAGATGGAAAAAACCCTCCCTAGAAAAACAAACGCTCTTCGAGTTTCTATTGGGGGAGGAGGGAGCCCCCACACCCCTCTTAGGGAACTAGTTTTAGTATTTAGCGAGTAGCAGGTATTCGGTAGCACTAAGAAGGAGCGGTAGTAGTAGCAGTAGTAGTCGTGGTGGGTAGTAGTAATAATGGCAGAAGGAGAAGTAGTAGTAGTAGTAGTAGTAGTAGTAGTAGTAGTCGCCGTCGTCGCAGAAGCAGCAGCATTCTACCTGGCCACATGCCGCCTCTAACTGTCTCGCGGGCCGTGCGGCTCTAGAAGTAGGCTGTCGCTGCCAGACGCTCGCATAGTCATGTACCGAAGCATTGGGAGCCTGAGTTCACAAAGCCCGATCTGCGGGTTCCTCCGGGTCGGGGGCTAGGCTTCAGGAAGAAAGCTGAGTTCTGCGAATCCGCTTGGATCCTTCATCGGCCACATGTACCTGTGTAAACTGGAGCATGGGTTTGTGAGGCCATACATGAGCCTGGAAAGCGCGCGTTCCTTGACCAGTTGGGCTGCGGATATCGTGCTGTTGGTTGTGGTAGCATGACATCTGCTGGAGCTGCTGATGATGACGATTATGCAGACGATGATTATGTTCTGATGGTGGCGATGATGATCAGGAGGAAGAGGAGGAGTAGGAGCAGGAGGAGGGGGCACGAAGGACGCGGAGGAGGCACGAGAACGAGTTGACGAGGACCAGGACCATCGCGGAGGACGGAGGGAGGAAGGAGACGGAGGAAGGAGGACGACGACGATGATGACGACGGTGATGATGATGGATGTGGGTAGTGACTGGGCGATGATGTGGGTTATGAGATGATGTGGGTGATGAAATGGACGATGACAAGGATGTTGATGTTGCTGATGCTGCTGACGATTGTACCAGCCGCGGCGGTGGCAGTGGCGCCGGTGGTAAGTGGTACAGGTTGATTGTGGCAGCGGCACGGCGCTCGGGGTAGTGGCGTTGGCGTCGGTGGGGCAGTGCCGGCGGCCTTTGTGGGAAACGGTGGCTGGCAGCGGTGAGGATGGCAATGACGACATATGAATAGTTATCCTGGAAAAACGACGGCACAGATAATGAGGATGGTCATGGCGATGACGCTGAGACTGGACGTTGAAGGCAAGCTGGCCGTTTCATGTTTACACTTCATCTGAAATATGGCGAATCTGCAAGTCTTGCTGAGATGTCTGCGTATCGAAGAAGAGAATGCCGCCGATTGCAGACACGAGCCAGCAGTAGGTTATCCTCAGAAGGGTCATGAGGTTTAACTCGGCACACAAAGCTGAAACCTAGCTGATCTTCAAAGCCCCGAAGGCTTCAACCGTCGATCGACAAACCTAAGTGATTCCTAGCTGATCTTCAAAGCCCCGAAGGCTTCAACCGTCGATCGACAAACCTAAGTGATTGGCTCTATAGTCCGACACACACACACACAAGACGCTCCACGTGCCGAAGCGAACTCCGACGGGAGCAGCCATTGGGAGCTGTAAAATTTCGTTGCGAGGCTTCGAAGAAGTCGCCTTCCAGATTCTGCAGCTTACAGACTCTTACATACCAGCTGCCAAGAAGGCAAATTCCCTCTCCGAGCGCGGCCAAGGTTCCACTGCAGCCCGCCAGTGCGAGCCTCGCGGCCACGACCGCCCTGCAGCGCCGTGCTGCAGAGGTGGAAAAGCCTTCTGCCCAGCACATTGTGGGGTCCAGGGCCTTCTTTTCGGCTTGCAGGGCTTTGGCGGCAGACCATGACCCTAAACCCGTAGCTTTAAGTGCCATGAACCCTGACAATAAAAATATTCCCTGCCCACAAACACCGAAGAAAATATGTTGCCAGGATCAGAAACTAGCAAAAGTTCAGACTAAGAGCACCCTAAACTCAGCCAGCAAAGTGCAGTTCCGTAGACAGGACACTCAACTAGCAGATCGCAGACTGCACTTCCAGACCGTTTTGATTCCACTTTTCGGCAAGCAAAGCAGATCCGATGTCCCAGGAGCTCCAAGCTGGGAGAGCTGCATCGCTTCAGAGACATCCTTCAGTTAGGTGCTGTTTAGAAGCAGACCCTCGACACAGACCCTTACTGCAGCTTCCCAGGCTTCCGGAGAGCTGCGGCAAGAAGCCACAAGCGCTGGTCTTGGAAAGCTGCCGGCTTTGGCAAGAAGCCCAAAGACTCCAGATTCCAGGAACTGCAGTAACTAAACCTGGGGCCCCTGATTCCGGTTCTATATAATCGGAGCCATTTCAAAAAGCCGGCAAGGGTATCGCCATGTTACAAAGCCGGAGCCCTGCCGTTCACAATAGTAAAAGGGGCGACAATAATGAACTCCTCCAGGGGCGGGGCTCCC